TTTTTTTCTTCTCTCTTGTTTTTCGAAATGTTTTTCTAAGCTTCTACAGTCAAAAAAAGTAGTAGTAGTAGTTGGTTCGGTTGATTGATAGTACGGGTCCATGTACTTGGTCATTTCTCTTCTTCTTCTTCTTTTTTTTTGATGATACATACTTCTAAATAGAAGGAGACGTGCGGTTTTTACACTATAAAAATGCGGGGTGGCATTGAAAAAAAAAGAAAACATTGCGGCGGTCAAAAGCTGTGTAGACAATATTTTATTTCATTGAAATGGTCACTTGGAACCTTGAAGCCTAGCGGCAGCGTGATTACTTGTCATTACGCTGCAAGCTTTCTTTGAGCGCATCTATCTCGATTTCTGTGAGAGTTATCAAGAAATTGTTAACTAATAAAATGTTTGTCATAATATTACCAATATTTCACTCGTTTACAATTTCTTGATAGCTTTCACAGGAACTGACAAGGGAAGGTTTTTCAGACAACGATTGAGAATTCGCCCAAAATTTGTACAAAGGTACTTTCGAACACGCTGAATCCGAATCCAAAAAAAGTTTTAGCCCGTTCTCAAAAGGAGCCAAAATATGGCCTCGAAAGTGCTTTTAGTACTAAATTTTGGCCAAAAACATGCATTTTTCGAGGTTAAAAATTAGTTTTTCAGGATTTGCTTGAGTGCGAAACTCATTTTTGGACATTTTTCTATCTTCTAAAGTAACTTTTAAACATTTTCAAAAAAAAAATTTTTTTTTGAAAAATTTTGAAAAAAATCACCATGGGGTCCACACTTTGAGAATGATTTTTTGAAAATTTTTTGAAAAGTGCGAAAAAACGTTCCAATTATTCAGAAACGATAAAAATAGCATTCTGACAAATTTTTTTCAGTCCAATGTTGTCTTTGGGCTCAAAAAATCTCCAAAATCTGATTGTTGTTAGAACTTTAACAGTTCCTAATTTCTGAAATATCGCTTGAACTTAACTGAAACCTATAGAAATAAGTTTGAATCTTCTCGGCTGTTGCCCGCAACTTTTGGGCTGGATTAAAGCGGTTTCTGAGCTGTGGCAGGGCGGATGTCGCTTTAGTTTTCTGCAGAAGCCGCCCAGCGACCGCTCAAAAGACGCCAAACCTACGCTCAAGATTCGCGTAACTCACACTAAATCTGACCCTAGGCTCTGAAATGATCTGAAATTTCTGTCCAAATCAATTTCATAAACTTGATTTATTTTGAAAAATCTATGGCTAACAGAAGAAAGAAAAATAATGAATAGAATAACAAAAAAAGAGAAATAAAAAGATTATCTATTAGATTCGCATTGAATCATGATGTGGGTAGAGTAGGCAGTAGTTGTCACTTGGGTGCTCTGAAAAAAAACAAAGATAATTGTATTGATTTTATTGTTGCTTACCAATGAGATCGGTCAGATGAAAGTCGGAACATCATCACAGAAGACACGCTGGTGAGAAGTTGGCACAGAAACCCAACTTCATGTTCTTGTTCAACGCATATTGGCCATCTATCTGCTTTTCGAACACCGCCGATCCCTCAGATGGCATGTACAGAAGCTCATGATAGATGGAACTGATGAGTCGACGAACTATTATAGAACGATCGGGTTCATGTGGACTATGTACTTGCCGTCGGCGCCGTTTAGGCGGTCCGGTTCGCAGACGTATTGGATTGATGAGCCGAATGAGAGTCCTTCTCGTTTGGATCGTTGATCAAGACGAAGCTGGAATTTGGAGTTTAGGTTTCGAAGGATCAAGGGGTTTAAAGAACCAAGGATCTAGGGACCTAGCGATCCTCAGGTTCTTCGAACCAAAAGCTCTTGCGCACGTACCACGCGATCAGATTGCTCTGATTGACACCGTAGTGACGCGTCATATCGTAGTCATATCGTATTCTCGGATATCTCACGGCACAGCGGTGAGCATTGTCGTTCAAGGCGTGAGCTGTTCCATCTTTGATGACACTCAGATGTACTACGATCTACAAGTTTCACAATTTTTCGAATCACATTTCTATGTTTTTACCTTTTTGTGAACTTTGGATTCCAGTATCAATTTCTTTCTGCCCGAATACGTGTTGCCACCTTCCTTCTGAAAATCATCATAAATACGTTCACAAAATTATGTATCTTACGAAGTTGTCTCTTCGACCTGGAATTCGATATTCTGACAAATCCATTCATCTTCTCTTTTTCAGATGTCCTCCATTTAATTTCGAATTCCTTACTTCAAACCAATTTGTGAAAGTCCTATATTCGAAACCAAAATTTTGATACTACCACCTAAAAGGTTTTTCATTTTAGAACAGAAACGACAAAGAAAATTAGATGAATTACACTAAAATAGGAGAAAAAAGAATAAAATTTGATTTCGAAAAGAAATGCTAATGCACGCAATGCGAGGCCCGCGTCACCTTTAACATTCGCCCAAACATCGCCCAAGATTCGCCAAGGTGGTGGTGGTCGGCCCAGCTGCCATAGATCTAGGAGCTTCCGGTTAAAAGCCGCCCAAATAACGCTCTAAAGCCGCATCCACCCCTGTATTCGCCCTAAAGTTGCAGGCCACAACCGAGCTTGTATGTGATCGATTTGACAGTACTCCACCTCAAAAAGAACAAAATTGAGCGACTTTCAGGGACTGAAATTTTCGATTTTAACGATACGAGGATGTAAGAACCGGTCGAAAAGACCATTATCTATTTTTTCCTCAAACTCTCATGCAATCTTTTTTTTTCATTGAAAACTTTTGAAATTAATCAAAAATTGTCATATAGTGCCTAGGGGGGCAAACTTGGAATCAAAAATTAGTTTCAAAAAATGCAAAAAAAGTTTTACCACAGTGGGGGTGGAACCAGCATAGTCAATCCTAATGAGTCACTCTCTTACCACAACACCACACAACCGATATTTTCATCTCACGCGGAATTGGTAGAGGAGGGAAGGGGAAGCCGAAATCTCCAGCGCACTGAAATCGGCCCAAATTTTCAGACAAAGTTTTTCGGCCTGGGAGTGAGAACGGGCTAAAAATTTTTTCGTCATCATATAGAGCATGTCTTAAACTATAAGTATGCTAATTTTGTGCAAATTCTCAACCGTTGTCTAAAAAACCTTCCCTTGTGAGATAATTGAGTTTGAAGTTGGAGGAGAGAAATGTGCAGCTAGAGATAAGCGTTGCCGACCGATGTCTTGGGGTACGGTGAATAGTGAATATAAAAATTAGTACAATCTTATGTAAAATTTTACGTTCTTCCGAATGGTACAAAAATCAAAGCTGTAACTATAAATGTGAGCAAGTTATGATAGATTTTCTGATTCGCGCTGTTAGAACTACGCAGTTGCAGCCTTGTCGACCGATGGCGTGAGGTAGGGTGGGAATTTAGTTTTTGAAAGCAGCATAGTCTTATGTAAAACTTCACGCTTTTTTGAATGGTAAAAAAAATCAATGCAGTGGTTTAAAAACTAAGCGAGTTATGGCTACTTTTCTGGGTCGCACCGCTAGAGCTACCCGGTCACAGCCTGCCGACCGATGGCGATCTGTGGCGTGACTTGGAAAAATAGCCCTAACTTCATTAACATTGTAGTTACAGCTTTGATTTTAGTGCCATTCGAAAGAACGTAAAATTTTACATAAAATTGTATTGTTTAAAATTTCACTTTCAACCGTACCTCACGACATCGGTCGTCAATTCTGCAACCGCATCGCTCTAGCGGTGCGGCACAGAAAAGTTTTATAACTCGCTTAGAATTTTAGCTACAACTTTGATTTTTGTACCATTCGAAAGGACTTAAAAATTTACATAGTTCTGTGTTGTTTTTAAATTTTCCTTTCTATCGTACTCCACGCCATCGGTCGGCAAAGCTGCGACCGCGTAGCTCTATCGGCGCAGCACAGAAACGTTCCATAACTTGTTTGGTTTTTTAGCTATAACGTTGGTTTGTGTACCATTCGAAAGAGCGTAAAATTTTACATAGAACTGCTTTGTTTTTTTCAAACTTTTATCACTAGGTAGAATTTCGAAAAGGGGTTTTTGGCCTCTCAATTCTAGTTCAAATCATCGAGAGGTAAACAATGAGAAATTTTGTGAACAGTTCAAATTTTCTGATCATGAATTACTTCCTTTCCCAATAAGTGTCCATGAAACTGACCTTATAATCATTTCATCAAAAACAAGGAACCAATTCTTGGTTTTTTATTGAAAAAAATATATAAAAATCACAAAACAACCGATCAAATCACCAAAACAAAACGCATCGAACAACAACTGATAGAACTACAAGAACATCATTTGAAGAAAAAATGAAACCAGTTTTTCAAAATTTCCGAAAAATCGCCAAGTCATCATCTGATTTTTAGGTCATTTTTGGGAATGGATCTATTTGTTGAGAGACGCAGAGAAAAGGGAGAAGAATGCTGTTTGTTGTTTTGTTGTGATTCGATTTACGATTTCAAATTAAGCAATTTGAATTTTTTGATAAATTGAACCGTGAGAAACTGGGGAATAGTTGAAATTTGAGAGAAAAAATTTGAAAAGAAAAATAAAAATAATTGTCTTGGACGTTAAACAAAAAGCAATAGAAGATTGGACTAGGTGGGGTTCGAACCAGAAACCCCTTTTTCCAAAGTCAGAACTGTCATCCATTGCGCCACAGGTCGCATAATGAGGATCAATTGGTGTCACACTAATACTCATCCAGTGGCACCCACCACCTCTTTCTTATAACAACCGCCTCTCCTTTCATATCTGAGCACATAGTCTAGCGGCTTCAGCTTTTGCCTACCAATCTCGCATCCTGGGTTCGACTCCGACTCACGCCATCGTATTTTTTCTTATTTTTAAAGTCACATACAGTGCCTTTAAAGTGTTTTTAAGATGTTTTTTGTATGAATATTGGGAAAACATTTGTTTCGAAAGTTTTATTGCAATAAAATTGAAATTAACAAATAGAAATTGAAAGCAGAAATAAGAATAAAACACATAGGAATTTAGGTGACAAAATTACTCAAATTCTCACAACAAGATACAAAATGAACATGATGACGAAATAGACAAACATGGCTAGGCCAGCCAATGGGCGTGCGGTTCTCGTCCATTCTGTCCAATTCGTGTCACAAGCTGAAAAATATCAGTTTAAAAAGTTTTTGAGGGAAAAGTGGTACTGTCCGTGCCTTTAAAAATAATAAAAAAGAAAATGGCCGAGGGTGGGAGTCGAACCCAGGTGTTGAGATTGATGGGCAAAAGTGCAAACCACTCGGCTACGAGTGCCCACAAGGAAATCAAGACATTTGTAGTATAAGAAAGAGGTGGTGGGCGTCACTCGATGGAGCGGAGAGGTGGCGGTGTGCCGCCGTTGTGGGAGACATGGCGTAGTGGATAACAGCTTTGACTTTAGAAAAAGGGTTTCTGGTTCGACTCCCACCTGGTCGAATTTTCTTTTGCTTTTTGTTTAGAGTCTAGGACAGTCGTTTTTCTTTCCCTAGAAGCTCTATAATATATTTTTTCAGAATTTCCGCTTTTATACTCGAAAATTTCAAATCTAAAATCTAAAACCTACCGTAATCCACAACCATACCCTCTTCCTTCCAAGAAGCGGGTACATAATCCTTGACAGCGTAGATTTTTCGGATGGGAAGAGGCACTGGAACTTTTGTGGAACAAAGAGCACAAAGGACACCATGAAAAACGGCAGAGACGATGTTACTGATAAGAAGAATATGGAATAAAGTAATAGAGGAGGGTCGTTTGGATAGATATAAGGGAATTTTGATAGTGATATCTTGGAGGAACATGAACTCGAGATAAATGGCCATTAGGTTGATAACGAAGGCCAGGGATACGGTTGGAGCAAAAAATGAGACTTGGATGAACATTGTGCATACCTGGAACATGGGAATTTAGTGTGAAAATTTATGGGCTACATTTCTGCAGTTGACAACTTTTTTATAGCTTTGTTGGTTCTTGAGATGCGCGCCTTTAAAAAAGAAAGGGGCGCTTGTACCACCTCTGGAGGCGTGCAAATTCAAAGACGCATAACTCAATAGCTAAAACAGCTAGCTTACATTTTTCAACTAACAAAATACAGCTCGTAAAATTTAACTCATTTTAATAGTTTACAACGTTTTTTTAGCTTTGCTGGTTTTTGAGATATGCTCCTTTAAAGAAAGAAGGGGCGCTTGCACCACCTCTAGAACCGCACACATTTTAATGGTGTATAACTCAAAAACCAAAATAGCTAGCTAAAAAGTGCAAACTAACACAATATGCGACATTTTATGGACCACAGTTTTGTAGTTAACACTTTTTTGATATCTCCTCTAAAAAACTCACCAAAGTCGGTGCAACAATTGTGGACCAAAAATAAGGACTATGCCTTACGAAATCCACGTTCACCGCGAGCATCGACCAGGTATTGCCCAACTCAAAACCAGTAACTGGTGCGGTTTTTGACACATTCCCACTACCGTAATAAAATTGGGAAGCGGAGACGTTGAGAATTTTGAAATCCGAAATGATTCGCTTCATTTTTTGTTCTTCCCATCCTGCAACGAAAATAAGTCATAACTCGCTTAGTATTGAAGATAGAGTTTTGATTTTAGTACCATTCAAAAGTACGTAAAATTTTACATATGATAGTAATGTTGAAATTTCCAATGTCTACCGTATATCACGCCAACGGTCGGCAAGTATGCAACCGCGTAGCTCGCGCACGTAGACTCGGAAAGGTTGTCGTAACTTACTTACTACTTACTATTTATTGTTAGATTTATAGCTACAAATTTCATTTGTTTACCAACGAAAAATTTTAATAGGACTGTATTATTTGAATATTTCAGGATCTACCGTACCCCACGCCATTGGTAGGCTGCGATCGTGTAGCGGAGGAATTCGATATAGAAAAATTGCTATAACTCGTTTAGATATAAAGTTAAAAAGTTAGTTTTTGTATCATTTAAAAGAGCGTAAAATTTTACATAATACTGTATTTTTACAAATTTCACTTTCTACCGTATCCCACTTCATCGGTCGGCAAGGCTGCAACAGCGTAGCGCGCACAAGTCGGCAGGAGTGCGACGCAGAATAATTGCTATAACTCGTTTCGATTTAAAGTTACAAGATTAATTTTTGTATCATTTAGAAGAGCGTAAAGTTTTACGCAAGACTGTATTTTTTACAAATTTCGTATTTCACCGTACCCCACGCCATCGGTCGACCAGACTTCAACTGTGTGGCTCTAGCGGCGCTACTTCTGAAAGTTGTCATAACTCGATTAGATTCAAAGCTCAAGTTATGTTCTTTGTATCATTCGGAAGATCGTAAAATTTTAAATCGGAAAATATTGTTTGAAAATTTCACTGTCTACGGTACCCCAACGTCATCGGTCGGCAAGGTTGCAACCGCGTAGGGCGAGCTTAGGTAGGAGTGCGACTCAGAACATTTGTCATAACTCGCTTAGTTTTAAAGTTACAACAATGATTTTTATACCATTCGAAAGCCCACAAAATTTAACATCTTATCCAATAAATCAGGTAACTCACCAAAACTCAACGTTGGCGGAATATTATACAAATTCTGAAGTTGCACTTCGGCCATCGTATCAGTCGCGAATAGGTTCACCGAACACTTATTCTGATCATATGGGAAGTCTCCGAAATCAAACATACAACCGACTTTTATGGAGAATGTTGGGTACATTTCCACTTTTGCTCGGTCCTTTTCAACCATCTGAATGATTACATGAGCGCTGGTTGAGAAGTCGAATGCGGACGCGAGACCGGAGGCACTGGAAAAGTTAGAATTTGATGTGCAGGGTCCCTGGGTTACTGTACCTATTGGAAACGCGAATTTTCGGCTGCCAAACTTGCCACTTTTTGACGCGAGCGTAGTGTATTCCAGCGAAATCTTTTGGATCCCAAACTAGGTACTCATCGTACCAGCGCTGAAATTTTTAAGGAAATTTCTGGATGCTTTCTTTTCTCATACCATATAAATATGTCCATGTAGCGTCATTGTTTGCTCTTTCTGATTAATTGAGACATGAATGACATGCCAGTGAACATCAACCACGGTTGGAACGGATGCATTCTTCACCGGACGCTTTTTGATGTCGTACCCGCGGAAAATGCGTTTTTCCAAGTCAGACTGATGAGCGGAATAGGTGCGGTTAAAGAATGCTGAAAAAATACCAATTTTTCGAGCGAATTTTTTGAAAAATCGGGTTTCTAGACCTTCAAGGGAAAGAAAAATTGTTGTTCTAGATGCTAAACAGAAATCCAAAAAAAACTGGACTAGTTGGGAGTCGAACCAGAAACCCTTTTTTCCAAAGTCAGAACTGTTATCCATTGTGCCACGTCCCCATCTCTCGCACAATAGCACCACAAGGGGCGCCACACCGGCACCCCTGAATGGCCCCCACCACCCCTTTCTTATACAACACCCGCCTCTGCTCCCTCATGGGCGCCTGAAGCTTATTGGGTTACGCTTTTGACTACCAATCTCGCATCCCGGGTTCGACTCCCAACCTCACAATATTCTTTTTCATTCTTTTTAAAGGCACATACAGTACCCCAAAACACTTACTTTCCGCATCTCCCTCCTCGGAATCGATTCCCTGCTGCTGAGCATTCACATCTCTCTTCAGAATTGCTAGGTAGAATACAAAAATTACAGTAAAAATTAATAATAGTCGCATTGCTCAGTTTAGAATTTTTAATAATTTTTTGAGAACGGAAAATTGAATAACTGGAAAAATTTGGGGGTGGTGGAGCGGGGGTGGAGCGAAAATGTTTATGATTTGCAGGCGTAATTGTTTAATTTTTAACGGGGATTCTGGAAATTTGATACGGTATCAGGTAACAATTGATTGTATAAACAAGGAAGCATAGTATCATACTCAGAAGAAATTACTCTACGTTCAAGTTTGAACTGGAAATTTGAAAAGCCAAAGATCACAAGGAATAAGAGAGGGGTCACGACAAGAACTTTAAAGGCGCTTAACTCAAAAACTAAAGTAGCTAGCTTAAATTTGTTAACTATGAACATATAGCTTGTAAAATTTCACACATTTTAATAGTTTACAACTTTTATGTAGCTCATTTGGTTTATGCGCCTTTAAAAAAGGCAGAGAGCGCGGCACTCCTTTTGGCACGCGCACTTTAAAGGCGTACAACTCAAAATCTAAAATAGCTAGCTAAAACATTTAAACTAACAAAATGTATGAAATTTTATGGGCTAGATTTTTGTAATTAACAACTTTTTTGTAGCTTGCCTGGTTTTTTAGATATACCGCCTACACTTTTTAAAGATCAATTTCCCAGGAGTAATTTGCCGATTTCCCTGGAGCAGACTCATCATTTATTATCTCATCGTCTCAATAATTGGCAATTTTCTTACCAATTTTTCCATTGACCTTTTTCCCACAAACCATTTGGCACAGTGCCAAAAAGTCAAATCTCCCACCAAAATCTGCCTAATCAACCTGTCCTTCTCCATATGCATTAGCACATACCTGCAATGTGTTTTGAGAGTGTAATATCTTGAGAACCAGTACAGTAACCTAATAATTTTTACAACCGTTCTGTGTAAAATTTTATGGGCTACATTTTTGTAATTTACAACTTTTTGATAGCGTTGCTAGTTTTTGAGTTATGCGCCTTTAAAGAGATCATGCTCTGTGGTACCTCTTGAGTTGCCCACACTTTAAAGGCGCATAACTCAACAACTAAAAACGCGATTTCAAATTTGTATATTATAAAAAATATACAATCTTATGAACTACATTTTTGTAGTTTGCAACTTTCTGATAATTTTGCTAGTTTTTGAGATATGCGCCTTTAGGGACGCTTGCCCTACTTCTAGTGCCGCGCACAATTTAAAGGCGCATAACTCAAAAACTAAAAAAGCTATTCAAAAACTGTAAACTGTAGCATATAGGACATTTTAAAAGCTATAATTTCGTAACAAACGAGTTTTGTCTAGCTACCTTACTTTTTGAGATATGATCTATGCAAAGTTGGCCTTGGAACCTCTCACCCTAGGACACCCTAGGTACGGGGGTTCCAAAATTCAAATCTCCCGGGTAATACGCTCTATACTGCCTTATAGTACATCAAACACATACATACACTGTTGGGGTTTCCTCACGAGACCAGTCAGCAAGAGAAATAGTACGGGAAATCGAGAGAGTGGTTAGAGAAAAATACAGAGGGGCAGTCATACACTCTATCTCTCTCTTGTTGTTCAATTTGTGTTGCGTTGTATGATTCTTTCTTCGATTTTCTCATTCTTATTGTTTTTTTATCATCATGCATTTTCTTATTCTTCTGATCATGAGAATTATTGATTTTCTTTTTTTTTTCATTTGAAAAACCCAATTTCTTTCCAGATATGTCTTCCTCATCAGACGTGATCCCTGCCAGTCAGGCGACGGTGAGTTATTGCACCGATTTAGCTCGAAATGTTGTGAGTTTGCACTTCTAACCTTTTTTCCCCTGTTGAAAATCCCATTACAGTACTCAAAAAAGAAATAAAAAGAAAAGTATACCAGGCGAGGTTTGAACCCGCGACTATTTTTTCCAAAAGTTAATATTACTAACCAGTGTGCCACCATCACTTGGTTTTTTTGCTGCACCCCAGCGCCCCCTCCCACCCCCTAACGCTTCACGCTTCTCCTTAACCTCCCTCCGTTCTTATATGAACTCCCCCCCACTCCTGTCACCTGCCCCCTGTGGCCGAGTGGTTCACAGTTTTGTCCACCACGCTGACACTCCTAGGTTCGATTCCTCCCCCTTTTTTTTCCTTTTTGCTCTTTTTTTTCCTTCATAATTTCATATTTTTAGGGTTCTGGATGGCTCGCCACGATGGGTACAGCTGCGGGTTGGGCGTGGGATGGTCTCAAGGTCACTGGAAGTGTCATCAATGATATTGGAGCCAATACGACTAGGAATACAGTATGCTCAACGGCTACGGTAGCCGGGGGAGTTCTAGGAGGATGGAGTGGGTCGGCAGTTGGTAAGGTTTACTTTTGGTTTTGAGTTACGCGCCTTTAAAGAAGGAAAGGCATACTTGTAAAATTCCGGGCCGGGCCTGAGGAAATTTTCAAGGCCCGGGCCCGGCCCGGAAGGCCCGGTGTCAAAAATTCTGTATTTTTGAGCCAAATTTTGAGCTCTCAATATAATTTTTCCATTTTTTTTCGTATTTCAGATTGTTTGTCTGTCTGATCAAAAAAGATCGAAAAACTCGAAAAAAAATTTTTTGGTCGAAAAAAATCACATAAGGGTCCCCCCTTATGTGATTTTTTGAAAATTTCGAAACTAGTGAAATGACGGGCCCGCCGGGCCTCCGAAATTCCGGGAAAAGCCCGGCCCGGCCCGTTACAAGTATGAGGAAAGGGTGCTTGCACCATTCTACGCGGCATAATAAGAGGTGTCCACACTTTAAAGGCGCATAACTCAAAAGTAGCAAGGTTATCAAAAATGTGCAAACTACAAAAATGTAGTTTATAATATTTTACGCATTTCAATAGTTGACAATTTTTAAGTAGCTCACTTGGTTTTTGAGCTATGCGCCTTTGAATTAGGCGTGCGCTCCGAGAGTAAGAAGCGCAGAGAGGGCGTTTCCGCGCACGCCCACTTCAAAGACGCATAGGTAACTCAAAAACTACAATAGCTAGCAAAACATTTAAACTGTTAAAATACGTAAAATTTTATGAGCTACATTTTTGTAGTTAACAACTTGTGTATAGCGTTTTTGATTTTTGAGTTATGCGCCTTTGAATTTGACGTGCACTTCGAGAGGAGAGGACAAAGCGTTTTCGCGCACGCCTACTTTAAAAGCGCATAACTCCAAAACTAGTAAAGCTACAAAAAAGCTGTCAACTAAAAAAATATAGCTTATAAAATTTTCAACATTTTACAATTTACGGTTTTTAAATTCCTTTTTTTGGTTCTTCAGTTATGTTATGCGTCTTTAAACACCGTGTCCAGTACTGTAAGAGATATGCACTCTTTAAAAGCGCATAACTCAAAAACCTGCAAAGTTATCAAAAAGTGGTAAACTCCAAAAATGTAGCATATAAAATTTAAAATATTTTCATAGTTGACAATTTGTATCTAGCTATTTTAGTTTTTGAGATACACGCCCAGTAATAAAAAACTTTCCAGGCGCCGCCATCGGGTCAGTGATCCTTCCAGGAATCGGTACTGCAGTCGGGTCGGTTGTGGGCGGAGTCTCTGCAGGACTTGCAGCATCAAAAGCTACTACAATCGTCACAGATCGGGTCCTTGACGATTGTGACTACGATATCGAAACAATCAGCTGCGAGAAATGTGGGCGGGGCTTCCGATGCAAAATTTACAAAGAGGGACGGGAAACACTGTGTTGGAGATGTAAATAATCGATTCGTTTATTGATTTTTAATTGTTAATTTTTTAAATTTTTTTGGTTGAAAATTTATTTGTAAAAATGCTCAAAAATAATTTATCAAGAAATAAATAATTATCAATTTTTCAAGCAGCTAATGCTTTCGACAATATTCTCCTTGTGATTTGCCATCAGGATCCAGGAACCTGGAAAAAAATTTGTTGACGCAGTTTTGAATACCTTGGCGCGTTTTCGGATACCGACTCTAAGAGACTATTGACGCATGTTTTGGATACTTCGACGCATTTTCAGATACCAGCTCAAAAGTGTGTCAAAAAGGCTACTGGCGCATTTTTGGATACCTGACGCATTTTCGGATACTGCTAGAAAAGGGATACCTTGACTCGTTTTTGGATTCCTTGGCGCAATTTTCGAAGACTTTTGCGTATTTCCGGATGCCTTGGCGTATTTCCGGATGCTTTGACGCATTTTCGGATACCTTAGCTTGTTTTTGGATAGCTTGGCGCACTTTTGGATACCAGCTCAAAAGTGCATCAAAGGAATATTGCCGCATTTTTGGATACCTTGACGCGTTATGGATACCTTGGCGCATTTTCGGATGCCGACACAAAAGTGCACCAAAGGGACTAATCGCGCATTTTTGGATATCTTGGCGCATTTTCGGATACCTTGACGCGTTTTTTGATACCTTGGCGCATTTTTGGATACTCAGGTGCTCACCTTTCCTGCACTCCATCATAAACTTATTTTCAATGATATTTTTGGAAAATTTCTCGGAAATTTTCAATCTCTTCGCACCATCTCCACACTGGACTTCGATCGCTTTACATGAGTAATATTCGAATGGTGGGGATACGGTAACCGATAAGCAATCATCGCAATTTTCCGAAATCGGTGGCTTTGAGGGGCAGGAGAGGCAGTCTGGAATTTTTTCCTCTAAAAATTGGGGGAAAAAGGGAATTTCACCTTTTCCAGAGTTTTCCGGGTTTTCCTCCTTTTCTGTGGGTGGTTCCTGCTTTTTGATTGATTTCTCTGGTTTTTCCGGGGTTTCTGGCAATTTTGGATTTTCAGGAACTGGTGAATTTATATTCTCCCTTTTCTCAATTCTCTCAATTCGTTGCTCGATTTGAATCAATTTGTTGTAGATAGTACGGTTGTCTGAAAATTTTGAAACTAAGATTTTTGGATTAGTTTTAAAAAGAGCTTCAAAACGAGTATAAACATGCCTAGGTTTTGAAAAAAAAAATTTCAAAAAAAATTTTTTTTCGAAATTTGTGTATGCGTCTTTAACTTTGCGTGGTAGAGCCTAATTTTTATGAAAGTTATACAGTTAAATTTGCATTGAAAAGAGCTTCAAAATGAGTATAAACAAGCCTATGGTTTGAAAAAAAATAGATTTTTTTCAAAAAATTTTTTTGGGCATGGGCCTTTAAAATCCAGATTTTCAAAAAAAAAAGCGCCCATAAGCATGTGGGTACTCATTTGAAAGCTCTAAATGAGGTGAATCCGAATTTTTAGGTTCCAGAAGCTGAAAATCGAGTTTCAAAATTTTTTAGACAGAATAAATTTTTGAAAAATTTTTCCAAAAATTTCAAAATCCCTCAACTTTTCTAAATTTCGCTCAAATTTCATGAAAACTATACTGTTGAATTTGTCATGAAAAGAGCTTCAAAATGAGTATAAACAAGCAGATTTTCAAAAAAATAGTTACTATAGGCTAAACGAGGGAAACTTGAATTTTTAGATTTCAGAACTTTCCAAATTTCAGAAAAAAAATTTCAGACAAAATTATTTTTCAAAAAAAACCCACCCAAATAGTAATTCTCCACCGTCTGATGATGATGGTGATGCTGGACATTGGAGGTTTGTGTCCACGGCTTGGATACGGTATGCGGTGCGCACTGACGGGTTATTGTAGGTGCTACAGTAAGAATACAAAAAAAGTAGAGCAGCATTTTTTTGATCTACCTTGTTTTTTGGGGTTGTGAAGTTATATAACGGAAAAAGGGGGTTTCACTTTAAAAGTGAAATTCCCAAAAAGTGTAGTTAAAAACATAATTTGCATATTCCGCTAGATAATTAATGTTGAAGACGTCATCCTCTTCTTCTTCAGAAGCTTGACGCCTTCTGAATTGCCACGTCACGTGTGGAAACTTGAATTCCTGAAAGACCGTTTTTTAGAGGAATTACGTGACTTTTTAGAGTGCAAAAATAAAAAAGATCAAGTTCTAGAAGATTCTAGGTACAAATCGAGTGTAGTTTGGTTCCCCCCAAACCACCAACTTTGAGCTCGTTTATCTCAGTTCCTGTAAGAGATATCAAAAAGTGGTCAACTAACAAAATATTTGTGATAATATGATAAAAGTTGTACCAGGTGACCACTTTTTGGTATGTCCTTCAGGAAAGGAGATATGAGGGCTTAAGGCTGATTGCAGTTGTTTTCCCATTGTTCATAATCAATACTGTTGTAATAAATTGTATTTATTTTTTCTTTTTTCTCATTCTTCCAACAAAGAGGTACCTGATGATGTGACAGGTGACACTAGATTAGCACAATAAAGATAGACAAATTGTCACTCTCCCTGGGATCACTACGTGGCCTTTACCGGGGGAACCGATTGCTGTCTGGGAGATTATGAGCTAGACGATACAGTAATTGCTCATACCTAGACAGACGAATATGCCAAATGTTACCTTCCCATGGGACCACCACCAATTTTCACCATACTTATAACGGGCCGGGCCGGGCCGGGTTTTTTTCCGGAATTTTGGAGGCCCGACCCGGCCCGGCGGGCCCGTCATTTCACTAGTTTCGAAACTTTCAGAAAGGGGGACCCTTATCTGATTTTTTTTCGATCAACAATTTTTTTCGAGTTTTTTCGATCTTTTTTGATCAGACAGACAAACAATCCAAAAAACAATAAAAAAATGGGAAAAATTATATTGAGAGCTCAAAATTTGGCTCAAAAATACAGAATTTTTGACACCGAGCTTTGGCGGGCCGGCCCGGAATTTTACAAGTATGATTTTCACTTTCCTCATGCATTCGGTTACACTTTCTAGGAAACAATTAGCACTTACCGTCAGCACCTTAAAGGAGGCGAGACAGCAAAAATTTCGGGGGCAGTTTGGGGGACGAAATCGGGCCGCGCTTATGTAGACCATCGGTCGTCAGGCGCCTTCGCGCCCCCGTAGCTCAGCCGGTAGCGGCGCTGTACTCCTGAGCTGCCTGTCATGAGTTCAACCCCTCATGGGGGTACTCTATGCAAATTATCAGGAAAACTTTTTTTTTGGTGTCTGGCCTCCTTTAATAGAACGGCCCCCAATTTTAACATTGAGCCAGTTTATCTCATGGAAGTAATGAACTGAAAGTTTATTTGACATTGCTAATTGACCGATTTCTTTAATAAATATTTTCAGAACAATGAAGCTCTCCAAATTTCCGTACTTGGTCCAGCAGGAGGTACTCAGCAATATGGCGTCTTCACATCTATTCCTCCTTTCCTTTGTTTCCAAAAATATGAAAGCGTTGATCAAATCGTCTCAAGTCGCAAGATTCAAAAACGTAATTCACATTAAATATAACTGTATGGAAACAAATCAACCGGACGTTGAAGTTTTCTACAGGGACGCTTGGGACCCGATTGTGAAAATTGCTGAGGAGGGGACGAGAACTGATGGTTTTCAGTTGACCGTGTCTGGAAAGTTGATCGATTTTCGGTAAATAGTTTCAGGAAATTTCATGTTCTTTATTTTTTAGTTCTCGACAAATGCGCCTTTAAAAATGCGTACCTCTTTTGCTGATCCTCTAGCAGTAATTTTAATTTAAAGGCGCATAACTCAAAAACCAAGGAAACTATTAAGAAATTTTAAACTACAAAAATGTAACATTGAAAATTGAACCATTTTTGAGCCTACTGAAGCAGCAATTTGCAGAATATCCGCAGATGAATATCTACGCAACAGTCCTATCGCATGTGTGTGTCATCCACGCTCTCCCACAGAACATTTCCGAACTGCAAATTAATTTTTGATCTACAGAAAAAAAGTTTGGCGCGATCACAATTGCATGTCTAAAACCATAATTTCAGAATATTTTATCTGATTTTGTGGAGTTCCAAAATGATTCAAATGATTCTTAAAAAATTAATTAGTGGTTATAGATTCATGTATGGTCCTTTTCCGGAAGAAAAAATGTCAAAAATGGTCATTTTTGAAAGTTTTTTACAGAAAAAATCTATCTCCTCTTTCAGTTTTTGACATTTCTAGGAGTTCTATAGCTCAAAAAAACCGCAATTATTTTCTCT